AACACGGTATGCTGCCGATAAGGTTGCAATTTCAAGTAGACCCAATCGCCGACGGTGAATTGGACTTCGCGGCGCCGTAAGTCCGCGTTCTGCTTCATCCGATGCTGAGCCACCGACAGATTTGTCTTCAGTTCATTGAGGAGTGCATTGCGGTCCAGTAAAGACTGATCCACCTCATGGACAGCGGTAGCGCCGGGCCGATAAGAGGGAATGGCGGGAGGAAGGCGGCCATACAAAGCCTGGAAGGGCGTCATACCTGCCGAGCTGTGGAAGGAAGTGTTGTACCAATACTCAGCCCAAGGAAGTGAGAGGAGCCATCGCTTCGGCTGCTGGTGCGTAAAACACCGTAGATATTGCTCCACACAGCGATTGACGACCTCAGTTTGGCCGTCGGTTTGCGGATGATAGGACGAGGACATCAGCAGGGTAGTCCCCGACTGGCGATGCAACTCCTGCCAGAAGTGGCTCATGAAAACCCGATCTCGGTCGCTGACGATGGAGCGAGGGAGGCCGTGCAGGCGAACAATCCCCGTCACAAAGTGATCAACCACCGTGCGAGCAGTGTAGGGGTGGGACAAAGCGAGGAAGTGAGCATATTTGGTCAAGCGGTCGACGACCACCAAAATCACAGTCTTGCCCCCTGAACTTGGTAAACCGTCAACGAAATCCATGGAGATATCTTCCCATACCTGGGTTGGGATGGGCAAAGGTTGGAGTAAACCCGGCGGGCTGAGGGTTTGAGCCTTGGCTCGTTGACAGACATCACAAGCGTTGAAGAAGCTCTGGACATCTTTGAGCATTCCGGGCCAGTAGAATTGGGCGACCAGCCGCTTCTGAGTTCGGAGTATGCACGAATGGCCGCCTGCCGGGGTAGAGTGGAACTCACGCAGCAGCTGCAGGACCAGTGGCGAGTTGGGAGGGATGACGACGCGCCGACGATATAGAACCATATCGTTGCGGATGGAGTAGGGACCGGGAGCTGCCGAGTTCGCCCGAGCTGTGATCCGCTTCATATACGGGTGAGTAAGAGCCGTAGCTTTCAGGTCTTCCCAAAGAGTTGTGTGAGGGAGGGACACCGCAAATAGCGTCGAGGTAGGTGGCCGCCGACTAAGAGAATCGGCTGCTTGATTCTCTCTTCCTGGTTTGTAGGTGATTTCATAATCAAACCCAACCAACTTGGAAACCCAACGCTGCTGCTCGGGCGTAGTAATCCGCTGGCCCAAAAGGTGCTTGAGACTACGCTGGTCGGTCCGGATAATGAATCTTCGGCCCAAATGTAGGGCCGTCAGGTCTGAATAGCGGTGACGATCGCTAGCATTTCTTTGGCGTAGGTGGAAAGGGCTTGCTTGGCCTTGCCCAAAGCCCGACTCATGTAAGCAATGGGCCTCTCGTTCTGCATCAGTACCGCACCAATCCCATCATCGGAGGCATCGGTCTCGATTATAAAAGGGGCGTTGAAGTTGGGCATGGCGAGTACAGGCGTGGAGGACATGGCAGTCTTCAACTGGTGGAACGCCTCCTCCGCCGCCGCGGACCAGTCGAATTGGCCCTTTTTGAGGAGATTGGTAAGGGCCCGTGCAATGGAGCCGTAGTCCCGGACGAACTTGCGGTAGTAGCCGGTAAGTCCCAAGAAACCGCGGAGCTCGGTGACGGTGGTGGGTTGGGGCCAATCGATCATGGCCTGTATCTTGCTAGGATCGACCTTGACGCCTTGGTTGGTGATGATGTGGCCGAGGTACTCGATCTCTTGGAGGCCGAAGGCGCATTTGGAGAATTTGACGAAGAACTGGTGATGGCGTAGGGTGAGAAGGACCTTGCGAACATGATCTCGATGGCTCGCCATGTCGGGACTATAGACCAGAATGTCGTCGAAGAAAACCAAGACAAACTTGCGGAGCATGGGTCGGAAAATCTCGTTCATTACCGCTTGGAACGTGGATGGCGCGTTGCATAGGCCGAAAGGCATCACGAGATACTCGTAATGGCCATTGTGGGTGCGGAATGCGGTTTTGTGAACATCGGCGGGATGCATTCGAACCTGGTGATAACCTGCGCGGAGGTCCAATTTTGTAAAGTAGGCGGCACCATGAAGCTCGTCGAGCATGTCCTCGACGGTCGGGATAGGGAATCGGTCTTTGATGGTAGCCGAGTTGAGGGCTCTGTAGTCGGTGCAGAATCGCCAAGTACCGTCCTTCTTTTTGACCAACAACACCGGAGAAGAGAAAGGGCTGGTCGAGGGTTGGATGAGACCGGCAGCGAGCATCTTGTTAACCTGGTCCTCGATTTCTCCCTTTTGGAAGTACGCGTATCGGTAAGGACGAACATTGATGGCTTCTGTGCCTTCCTTCAAAGTAATCCGATGATCAATTTGGCGGCGCGGGGGTAATTTGCCTGGTTCATCGAACAGATCGCCGAAGTCGCGTAAAATGTCCTGAAGATCATGAGGTACCGGCCGGAGTGGGTCTTCAGCTGGCGGGGGAAGACAGATGGCGCGGAGACTGGAATCCTCCTTCATTATGCACTTAAGGGTGGTCGCGGTGGGATTGGAGTTGGTGATGCCGTGTAAGTGTCGTCGGCGGCCTTCCCAATCAAATTCCATGGCCAGAGTTCGCCAATTGCTTTGAACGGTACCCAACGTCTCTAACCATTGGATGCCGAGGACGATGTCGAATCCAGCGAGAGGAATGGCGTAGAGAGTAACTGGGAATTGGGTACCTTGGATGTTGAGCACGACGTCGTCGTGCCGTCCGTCGCATTGCAGGGGTGCTCCGTTCGCGATTCGGACGTTGAAGGGAACGACGGATGAACCTGGAAGGTGGAGGGCTTCTGCGGTTTTGTTGTTGATGAAGTTGTGGGTTGACCCACTGTCGATCAACACAACTAGCCGAGTTCGGCCTACTTGGGCCCAAACCCTCATTGTTCTTCCCCCGGCCCGGCCCGTGATGGCGTTGAAGGAGACCTCGGCCTCTTCAACCCCGATCGCCTCGTCCTCTTCTTCGTCCAGCAGCATCATCAGGCGAGGCTTGGCGCATCGGTGGGTGGGGGTGAACCTTTCGTCGCAATTGAAGCAAAGCCCGCTTGCCGACGTCGATGCATCTCGTCATAGGGTATGCGTCGTCCGCCCGGTGGTGGTTGGGGTCGATTGCGGGGTTGCGGTGGTGCTTCGACCGGCCGGGGCCGCGCCACAAAGGTGGGCTCGAAGGTGGGACGCGTTCGGTGCCTGGGCGGCGTCGTGTAGTCCGCCGGAGACCGATAGGAGCTCCGGGGAGGACTTTGATAGCGCGTGAGTTGTTCTTCACGCACGCGGGCGAGGCTGATCGCTTCCCTCAAGGTGCGGGGGTTGAAAATTCTGATTCCTTCGGCGATTTCAGTTTTTAATCCGCCCAGAAAGGTGCCGACCAAGGCTTGCTGAGACCATCCTCGGACTCGGTTGCCGAGCCGTTCGAACTCAGTCTGGTAATCCTTGAGCGAGCCAGTCTGCTTGATATGGGATAGGGTTTCGTCGAACCCCGTAGCAGCCGATGGTCCGAATCGAGCCCACAGTTCCGATGAAAAGCTTTCCCAGGTAATTGGGATGCCATCCGTCCTGTAGGTGCGGCGGAGCCATTGCCACCACTGATTGGCGTCGCCCTCCAGGTGGTATGACGCCAATGACACCTTCTGACCCTCCGGGATTGCCTGGAATTCAAAGAACTGCTCCACCCTTGAAAACCAGACGGTGGGATCTTCCCCTGCGAAAGTGGGGAACTCCAGGCGAGCTAGCTTAGCTCCAAGAGTGGTTGGTGTTCACGGTCCGCCTCGTCGTCGATCTGATTGCGACGTGGCTGGCCGTTAACAGATGCATCCCCGTCGGCAGATCGCCGGTCATCGGTCCGAGCGGTGCGTTCCTGAGCTATTTGAGTCACGGCGAGTTGTAAGGTGGCCAACTGATCGAGAATTGTCGTGAGCTTCTGGTCATTTTCCTGACCGGCGGCTTCGAGAGCTTCAATGCGGTTAGCGTGGGTGCCCATCACCGGCTCTGATACCAAGTGATAAGGATCGAAGTTGTAAGCTTGGATTGATCCCCTTTCTTGGCGGGATCCAGCCAGGGTCTCGTTTCTTGGTGAGAATGACCAATGCTATTTGCCAAAATAAAGCTTGCCTCTTATTCATTCATTCCTTGCTTTAAATATAAAAAGAACAACGGACTCTTCCTAACAATGTGGAGCTATTTCAACTAATAGCTGCTACTCTTACTCCAACTTATTATGCTAACCGAAAAGGACTTAACAACTAAGACTCTTAACAACTCTTGACTCCTTCTACCAACGTAAACTAGACTCATTCTACTAGGCAAGCTGCAACAAACCTTTGGCCCAATTACCCCACGTAATCGAGGTACCTTCTATTGGGCTGGGCTACTCTTGATGAACGACGGGTGAGAGGAATAGTCTCATCATACTTATTCTCGATGTTTTAAGTTGTTGTAAGGTGTAGTTCGATACTCCCGGGAGTAGTGAAATTCAGTAGTAAGCCATTTCTCACTCCTGGAGAGCATTCAAACGATATCAATACGAAAGGGGTTAAAAAAAGAGAAAGGAGCAGCCAGTCGACTGGACTGACAAGGGCACGTTCAAAATCTGCTCAGCCCTAAACCTGTTCGACGTTTTTAATCAACAAAATTTCCCTCACTCACTCACTGACCGACCGACTGGTGCGGCAACTGGCAAGTAAGTAAATATTTTGGAGAGACAAACAACACCACACTTTAACACACTGCTGTGCTGCTCAGGCATTAACTATAAACAACTCCCTCATCTTGATCAGAGAGCAGCAAGTGGTCTGTCTGTGTGTTATGACAAGCCACACCTTTATTTTGCTGCTTTTCAAGAAATCCAGAGACAAAGATCCCCCAAACCCAACCCCATTCCAACCTTTATAATTTTTTTTATGAACCTACCAAACTGCTCATACCACACTGAATCCCACTTCTGAATCACCCACCATTATACGCAAAGATTCACCCCCGTCGTCTATTCCCGATTTTTATTAAATCAATTCGAATCAAACTTTACTAGACACCTATTTGAACATGAACGAAGCTTGTTGAACCGCGGATATATATAGTCACGTGAGCTTAAATCAAAACAGTGATGAAAATGAACCCTGCTTTAACTTGAACGCACCACACATTGATCAAACAACTTATTGCACAAAACCTAAGTAACATCGTAGCTTCACCCATCAGTTAATTAACTAACGCAACTAACAACATCATAATTAATCATCTACCATCTAATACCTAAAAAACCATCTTCAGGTTGACCACCTTGGAGCTGCTGCTGCTGCTGGCGGCGGTGCTGACGTGGACGGCGTAGGGTGAAGAAGGGACGAAGAAGTCGCCCAAAGCTGTGCAGTCTTGACCTTGGAGATGCTTGCCAGTACGCCCATAGGGGTCACCTTCCCTTTCACGATCACCTGCTTCGTCGCTAAATCGATGCTGAACGACGTCACCCCTGTATCAAGTTCACAAAATAAGATAATACGTTCAAACTCGTGATTAAAAACACAGAAACGTATAACGCGCGACTAGACGATTTTGACTGCATTATATCGCTCTTGGTGTAGACTTTCCCAATATGTAAAATGTACAATACCGACCTGACTGAGAAAGAGCGATTTTTTCTGTTCAGCAAGCCGTTACGATACGGTACCACCACGAAGCAATGGGACCAATCCAACAACAGCAATATCATTTATTGATATGATAGGGGTGTGCAAATGCAACTATCGTACTGGTGGCTCAACCAACCTAACCCAAATTCAATGTAACGATCTCGACAGTTCTTTCTTTGGGCTCCCAAAATTTTGTCTCTCTTCCTCTCGTCCCACTCCAAGTTTCCATTTGTGGGTAACGTTTAGCAGTACTATATCGCTACCAGCCAACTGAAATATGCTAATGTATGTGTACTCTTGCCGAGTGGGTGAATTCTGTTTCTACGTACTTACCTTCCATTTTGGAGATATGTTTCCTCACTTTCCCTTCGCATCCCTTGCAATGAATCGACACCCTCAAAACCACCACCTGCAATTTAATAAGCGAAAATGAGAATAAGAAAGGAAAAAAATTTAATGAGGTACGAGTTTCATCAATCTCCTTAATTCCTCTGTTTCTGCTCTGTTTTCGCTCTGTATTCTTTTTGCTGCTTACCTGGTCATGTGAGCGAGCGGAGGAAGATGATTTCAGAACCGGAGGACAGTCCTGGAAGCTTACACGCCGAGGTGTCCTGGCTTGCGCCGGAGCAACAGCGGAGACGACGTGTTTATCTGACGTTATCTCATCGCTCGATTCGCTGCGATTCGGTTTCGAGTGCCGAGTAGTAGCGACAACCATCCCGGAGATACGACCCGAATCGGAAAAAACAGGGTCGCCGAAGCGAGCCAGCTCGGAAACAGAGGAATGGCGATGTCCACGTTCGGTAACGGGGACATCGCCGCCGATGGAGGCCGTCTCCTTCGGCCGATTCGGCCACAGTTGATTGCGATCTGAATTAGGAACCGGAGCAGAGTCGGAAACCCAATCGGGCGGCGCGCCGGTTCGATCGTCGCTTCTCAGGAGATGAGTAGAAGAACCTAAGCGGATGTGCTGCTGCCGGCGGCGGAGCTGGAGAAGGAGATCGCGGGGGTCGGCGGAGGAGCTCCTTCTGCGGGAATCGAAAGGGGTGCTCTGTTTTCCCCTGTCGGAAACAGAGGAAGGGTGTTTGTACAAGTCGGAGAGCACGACGGAGGTGCTCCGCCGCTGCTTGATGGGATTGACGGGGAAGAATTCGTGAGAAGAGCAGGTCCCGAAAATGGGCTGCTTAGAAGAAGTGGCGGTGGAGTGGCGGACCATGGAGCGGTGGTCGAGGCTGGAGCAGATGGCGGTGGAAGAAGGGGAGCTGCAGAGGAACTCCATTCTCTTCATCTTTGTGAGAGTAACGGTGAAATGGGTCTTGTGGGTGAAGAGAGAGAGAGAGAGAGAGAGAGAGCACTGAAGGAGGAGTGAGTAAATGGGGATTGTGAGATTTTGAAGGGTAGAGATGCAGAGTAAAGAGGGTGCGTGGAAGGTTTGATATAAAGGGGGAAGTTTTGGGGAAGGGGAAATGGAACCCACAAAGGGAAAGGGGGGAAAAAGATGAATGATTATGATTTATGAATGGCAGTGGGGTTGGGAGGAAGGTGTGTGTGATTAATCTGGATTCTTGGCCTTTGACAGGGGAGGACTGAGGAGGACCAGGTGTGTCTAGTTAAGCTCAGTGATAAATGCAGAGTTTGGAAGGGCGGGTGTACAATAAAACAGAGGGGACGGAAATGGAGGGTTGTGCTGCAAATGGGTAGGCTTGGGAAGGGATCAATAGGTAGAATTTAAAATGTGGGTGTTGCATGCTATCAAATTAGTCCTATTAGGGGTGGCAAACGGTTAGCCGGTAATCGGTTTATCGTTTTATCGAATCGGTAACCGACGGTAATTGGTAAACCTATTATCGGCAGTATCGATAGTCGATTGAGGAGGGGGGGGGGGGGCATTCGGTATACCGGCCCCAATTACGGTAAATACAGACGGTAAGTCGGTAATACCGATACCGGGGGACCAGTACACTCTGTTTTGTCTAGCGCCCAGCAACCCCTAACCCTAAAAACGAAATTAGGAATTTTGTTTCGTCTTCGGCCCTCTCCTTCTCCGCTTCTCGTGTCTGACTCTCGACCGACGAGGCGACGACCAGGCAGCCCCCAAACTCCAAAACCCAGGCCAGATAGAGACCGTCAGAGACGCCGACGACGGCTCGTCCTTCCCTCCGCGGCTCGACATCTGTTTTCTCCTTCCCTGCCGATTACCGAGGGTATCGGTAGTCGATTTAGGAAGGGGGTGTTCGTTATACTGGCCCCAATTGCGGTAAATACAGATGGTAAGTCGGTAATACCGATACCGAGGGACTAGTATACTGTATTTTGCGTAGTGGCCAGCAACCCCAAACCCTAAAAACGAAATTAGGGATTTCGTTTAGTCTTTGGCCCTCTCCTTCTTCGCTTCTCGTGTCTGACTCTCGACCAACGAGGCACCTACCAGACAGCACCCAAACTCCGAAACCCAGGCCAAAAAGAGACCGTCAAAGGCGACGACGGTGACGGCGGCTCGTCCTTCCCTCCGCGACTCGACATCTGTTTCCTCCTTCCCTGTCTATCGTGCGCCTCCACTGTCTGTCGGTCGTCTATCTGCTCTGCGACGTCGAAGCCGCACTCGCTGTCCCTCTGCAGCCAGCGCCGCCCTCGCCACCTCCTCCCTGTGCCTCTTCAGCCGCTCCCTTCACTCCACCACCACCCCCCTCACTAGCAGATCCCACCGCCTTCCTTCTGCAGCAACAGCACCCAACGGATCCCGCCGCCCACTGCCCAGAATTTTGGTTCGGTAATTTCCCGATAAACTGAACTGAAAACGTGCTGTGACCTCTCCTCGCTGTAAATCGGTAAAACCGGTTTGTAACCGTTTACAGGCCATTCGGTAACCGATAAACCGGATACAAACCAGTAACGGTATTCGATCTCTCCCCCTCCATGCTCGACATACTGTTTACTGGGTCGGTCGGTAACCGATTTACCGATTATCGATCGATTGTCACCCCTAAGTCCTATTGAGATGTCACGATGAAATCTGATTAATTGAATCGTTTTAAAACTCTATCTAGTGAAGGAATCTAATGTATTATTATTATTATTCCAATTGAGCGTAAATTTTGAAGGAGAGAGGTTAATAATTTCATCCAGCAGCCATTTTTCAATATTTTCTTAAGGTCGGTGGTGTAGCCAGAATATGAGTTTAGTGAACTCATTACAAATAAATTATATATAATATTATATTCAATTATAAAGTCTATTCTCTTTAACATATCCAATAAAGTAGTTATTCATCAAATTATCAATTATTCAAGTCATTTCTCGTGTAATTTATAATTGTAAAGTGACATTTTGATTGCCAGTTAAGATGCCCATTAGTTTTACAAGCAAAACAACTAACGCATATAGACATACTATAAAATGCATTTATGACCAAAGAAATTGTATCTTAAATAAGACAAATGTGTTAGATTCAAAGGTCTTTTTAGTTTTGCGAGAGTCATTTATATAGATAGATAGAATGAGAAATTTTTATGTTACTGGTTGTAAAATTGAGGACTTTCAATGTTATCGATCTAATTGATATAGTATTATTTATTTATGTATATCATCATATCGATGAGTTGAATTGAATTTTGTAGGAATGGAGTCTTGAGTTATCAAACAACTCATACTAAACTAGTACATAAATAAATATAGGGTTACAGGTATAATATGCCCCTCTACTATGACGTTTTATCAAACATGCCCCTCTACTATTTTTTTACATCAAATATGCCCCCTGTAATTTGAAACAATTATCAAACATACCCTTATGTTAAAACTTTCATTGAAAAAATCGTCAATCATGGTTGAATTGAGATTTAGACGACCCGACATCGGCAAATGGGAGGGAAAATGTCAGTTTTGTCCCCTGTTTTATTTCCCTAGGTCTTTTCAAAGTGAAATTATTTGGATGATTTGATTATACAAAAGAACCAAAAAAATTCTAAAGTGAATTTATTAGGGATATTTTAGTCATTTGTGTCGCCCAAACTAAAGTTCGGCCTTGGTTTACGGTTTTTGGATGGAAATTTTAACAAAATGACATGTTTGATCATTTTTACAAAGTAGAGTGGCATGTTTGATGTAAAAAATAGTAAAGGGACATGTTTGATAAAATATTATAATAGAGGGACATATTATACCTATAACCCATAAATATATAACCCTATTTATATTTCCACCCTCCACCTCCCTACGCTACTCGCTAAGATTTAAGATATGAATACAAACATTATAATTTGAGATCAAAATTGAGAAGGTCTAACCCTCTTTAACTATAAGTAGTATAATAATATATATGCTAGGTCCGGGTTTGGGATGAATGGATGAACTAGGAAGGGACTAGGGAGTGGAGTGTAAAGGACATGCTTTATCTATCTATGAATGATGATTACTACCACTACTAACCCCAAAGCTAAATAATTATGTAGGTGGAGGAACAATTGTTGAAACCCATACCACTCTCTCTCTCGCATTATTATTGAGATATCATTAGGCAGCCACTCCTTCATGGGAGGAAGGAACCATCATCTACTCCTTCACTTGCCCTCCTTTAACTAGTAGCTTCTTATTACTTATTAATATTTTCTCAAATTCATTTTATATTTAGCCATACTGTTGATGCTATATAGCATGTTCAGGAGGAGGCTAATGTGTTTTTTTTTCCCCATCAAATGGATGCAACTGTATCATATCTTTCATTAGGGCTGGGCATGCGGGCGGATCCTCCGCGGGTTTGGGCCGACCCACCCGCATTTGACCCGAATTTCATTAAGTGGGTGGGTCTGTGGGTGGGTTACGGGTTGCGCTGGGAGCCATCCGCCGGGTGGTGGGTGGGTTGTGGGTGAGTGTGCGGGTGACCCGCTCAACCCAACAGCAAAAAGATTAAAGTCGTTGCCGCTAGAGAGAGGAGAGTGGAGACGTTAGATATAAACTCGTACTGCTCCTGGAGTTTGAACCTCAAAGCCAACCTTCCAAATAGAGATCCCCTCTTCTTTCCTTTACTTTTTCTTCTAATTCTTGTGCCTAGATCACCGCTCTTTCCTTTGTGGAATTATTTTCCTTAGTTCCTTGCACCTAATAAGCGTCTCAATCTGTAGAAAACTCTTTCATAATAGAATTTCTATCTAATTTAAGAACTAATTCGACATTTTTCACCCTATTTCAACTTCTTATTTCCCTCGATGATTCTCTTCGCCTATTATCATGTCAAGTTGACTCCTTTATATTATATACATTGTGATGTGGGTGAACCCACAAACCCACCCGCATCATCCACCATCCGCCCGACCCAACCCGAGACTAAATGTGGGTGGGTGGTGGGTTAAAAATTATCAATCCGTTTAAGCGCGGGTGGGTGCATTTTATGGTCAAAATCCACCCGACCCACCCAATGCCCACCCCTATCTTTCATTGAAAATCACCCGAAATTAGGAAAATTCCTGAATATCATAGTTAATCTAGTTATCCCACATATAATCATCCAAAAGAAAAGAGTGACCACCTAAAGAAACAGAATAAGGTTGATTGACAAGAAAATCTGCACACTTATTTCCTTCCCGGATAATGGAGCCGTCCAACACCCCAACTGCCTATGAGCGGAACATCGATCACCGTTACTATTGATTTGTTTTTTTGTGTGTGGAAAAGTAAAGTTGGTGATGCTGGGTCACGAGTTTCCCGCCAGCCCAATAGTATGATTGTCCCAAAGGAAACAAGTCTTGGTCCGGGCCGCTTCTTCCACTCGATTTCCGCCTGGAAAGCTTCCTCAATTTCATGCTTCATTCATTAGTACTGTTTGCCTTAATTGATTTGTTCCAAAAACAAATAAATTTGTTTGTTCTCCAAAAAAAAAAAAAAGGGGAAGGAATAGGATATGGTTTGAAAACTCTTATCTACAGAATTATTACAAAATTCTATTCATAGCCATCCATTTTAATTGGATTTAGTAGCTGAAAATAATATGATAATATATGTATTAAAATTTATCATAAACCAACAGATCCCAATAACTCGAGTTGTTGGGACCAACTGGTTCTTGACATGGTATCAAAATTAGTTTGGTTTTATATTCAGTATTACTTGAACATCAGGATAGTAGGATTTATATATAAATAAGTACATAACAAATGTACTATTCCACTTTTGATTAATTAAAACCGATGATATTTTCCTTATTCAACAATTCTTGTGAACTGTAAAGATTACTCTTGATTAATGGTACGCATGTCAATCGATCAATTTCCCCACCACTCCCTGTATTTGATTAGCTAGAAGAAGATCAGCTTCATGAAAACCATGCAATCAATATTCAAACCCAATCCAAACAGACACTTATATTCTAGGACCGGGTAATCGACATTTTTAGTTAATTGGCAATGATTACAGTAGTAGTAGCTAGGACTAGTGCTGTCGCAGGAATAACATAATCGGCGGCTGCAGTTGGAGTAGGT